GGCACAGACGACAGACAGCAGCGGGATGAGAGCGGCACAGACGACAGACAGCGGGGGATAAGAGCAGGTACAGTACCGATGCATTTCTCGTCGTCCGTCTTGGCGTCTCCGACGTACTCGAACTGGAACATGCCGAGACATTCTGCAAAGCGCCTCTGGGCCACACCCAACTCTGCAAAGCAGGAACAGATGGGGCACAACCTGTAAGGCTCAGTCAAACTTCAGGTATGAAATGGGGCTCAGCAGGTTTGGGATCTGTGTCAGTAATCAGATGGTTGTGAGTTCAAAGCCATAGGAAATCCCATCACTGCTGAGCCCTTTGATTGCTCCAGGGGGGCTGGACGCCAAGCTTGGCCCACATATATACGCTTGTCTGTCTTTTATAGCAACCAAGATGTGAAAATCATTCCACTTCCTGGAAGAATCATCCATCCATCCATCCATCCATCTTCTGTACCCACATGTCCTATGCTGGGTCGCCGGAGCCCATCCCGGAAGCAGCAGTGCAAGATAACTCAGGACAGGGTGCCAACCCACCGCAGGTGCCAGGGGAGTCTGGGCCCTACGGACAATTTGGTAACAATTCGGTAACAATTTGGTAATCATAATAATTCGGTAATTTGGACAGCAATTTGGTAACAATTCAACATGTTATCGTTTCTGGGTAATCATCATATTTGGATACTGCTTAATTGGACTGTTGCGTAAAAGGCCCTGAAGACACTGTCCATGACGCAGCAGCGGATACGAGGCCAGAAGATGGATCATCATGCTGTATTATGTAATGATGCATTGTGTAATTATGCCACATTATATAATAACTTGACAAAACATTAAATTTTCACTTCATTATGTAATAGCATCTGCATCATATAATAATCTGCCGCGTTTTTCAATAGCTTGAATACAATATGCAATACATTCCTCAGCGTTTTGTAATAAATTATTACATTTTGTAGTAGCTATTACAAAATGCAGGAGTTGCACTTTTCAAATAATAAAAATGTAATACTGTGCTTTATGTAATAGCCAAGATGTATGTCTTCATTGACACTTTGTCAAGTTATTACATAATGTGGCATAATTACATGATGCACTGTAACATGGATGGAGGGTTGTACTGATGGGTGGATGGACAGATGGGTGGATGGACAGATGGGTGGATGAGAGCGCCACATGGTGCCATCTACAGTAAAGGATTCAGTCTCCACATGGCATCCGTCCCACCAGTGCCGACTCCTCGCTGAAAGGCGCAATGAGGCTCAAGCCGCAGTTCCCACACAGACCCGAGGGGGGAGTCGCACTGGGACGGCTGGATGACTTCAGATGGAGAACATGAGGTGGTCCCGTTATTGCACAGGGACACTGGTCTCAAACTCAGACAGGTACAGACGGGTCTGACTGGGCGTTATACCCGCTGAATGCATCCCCTGACGCCAACAGAAGGGAAATTTCCCCCTTGCCTTCTTACCTGATCAGTCATGACCGTCTGTACTGAACACACCTAAAAGGTGCTTAAGTCAACAAGACAACTAAAGGTTTACTCCATCTACATCACAAACGGACAATTAGCTACTTATGCACGTTAACATTAAGAAAAACAATAATAATGTAAGTTAAACCATAATGACTTAACACCCAAATATGCCTATAATTAAATCTATAATTATGTTATTATATCTGGGCATGCCCAAACAATCCTATGATGTATACAGTGAACTGAACTGAATGTAAATCATCCATCCATCCATGCATCCTCCCTCTAGCTGCACATATCAAGTTCAGAGTCAGTGAGTGCAGCACCTCTCCAAGAATTGATCACGAGGGACGGCGCCCCCTGGAGGTAAATGCCAGATCACCACAGGTCCCCCATTCACCCCAGCGGGGACTCCAAGAAACTGGCTTATCTGAACTGTATGTCTTTGGGCTATGAGGGGAAACCAGTGCAAGGCAGGGATGCGAACCCATAACCCTGCGGGCATCAGACAAGTGTGCTGCCAAGTGGGTCACCACACCCCTCCTTCTACTGCCCCCCCCCCAACAGTGGGGGAAAAAGCAACTGATGTTTACGAACCACAAAATGCTGGTTATCTCTGCAGGAGAGTGCAATGTGTGAGCAGGAACACGACTTCTGTTTTTTAAGTAGGAGGGCGCGTCATTTCAGAGCTGCACTGAAAGCAAGTGAAGCAGAGGCGGGAAGCCAGTGAGAAGCGCGGCAGACAAACAGCTGTCCCCCCCCCCCCACCCGCAGCCATTTATCCAGGTCAACACGGAGATAACAGAAGGCAGGTCCAATCACATGCACAGACACCTCAGGACAGCGATCTCACATGTCCGGGACGCCCCTAAAAATAACATTCTTGTAGGACAGCAATAAAACAACCACATTTTGTGTAGATAATTGCAAATTCACCTCAAGTTATGAGACATAAGCCTGGGCACAAGGGGATATACAAATTTATGGTGCTGTTTTTTTTTTTTTTTTGCTAAAAAACATTTGTGCGATAATTTTGTGCTATTTCCAGTCTGGTCCAAATCACAATGATTGTTTACATGCAGCATTATGAAAGTATGACAGCTGCACGGCGCTATACCATCAATAAGCACAGCTCTGTCATACAGGCCAAAACATGAATCTACAACCAATAAGAGCTCTGGCCCAACAGTGTCTGATTGCACAAGATAAGGCCCACAGTTCGACTGTTCTTTGCAAACTCTACGCAATATTCACCGTAACACGTCATAACATCCGTTGGACTTTTGATGCCGTTTATGGAACACAGTATATAACAAAAAAAGTATAAGGAGTCACTCCTGTACAGCAGGGCTTGGGTCAGGCTAAGGAATTCACCGGGACATCCCTGACCAGCTCCACAGCGCCCCCCATTCCACACCGAGTACGCATGTACAGGCATTCGCTCTGTATGTGTGTGTACATGATTAATGCTATATTGTGGTCAATATATAGAACTTCTCACCATTCTCACAACTCGAAAGGCTGCCTTACACACAGGAACTCTTTCTACATAAAAGTCAGTGAAAACAGGAAGGAGAAACCACCGCACCCACACCAGCATCTTGCTGCCATTTTAGCAGACTTTCAGCAGGGCAATAGGGAGGCCGCCCCGGGGGCCGTTTTAGCGGACTTTCAGCAGGGCAGTAGGGAGGCCGCCCCGGGGGCCGTTTTAGCGGACTTTCAGCAGGGCAGTAGGGAGGCCGCCCCGGGGGCCATTTTAGCGGACTTTCAGCAGGGCAGTAGGGTGGCCGCCCAGGGGGCCATTTTAGCGGACTATCAGCAGGGCAGTAGGGTGGCCGCCCCGGGGGCCATTTTAGCGGACTTTTAGCAGGGCAGTAGGGAGGCCGCCCCGGGGGCCATTTTAGCAGACTTTCAGCAGGGCAGTAGGGTGGCCGCCCCGGGGGCCATTTTAGCGGACTTTCTGCAGGGCAGTAGGGTGGCCGCCCCGGGGGCCATTTTAGCGGACTTTCAGCAGGGCAGTAGGGAGGCCGCCCCGTGGGCCATTTTAGCGGACTTTCAGCAGGGCAGTAGGGAGGGCGCCCCGGGGGCCTCGTGCAACAGACTCCGTATAAAGATGAAGAAACGGCACAGGCCTTTCAGGCGCAGTAAAGCGTTACTGACGGTCTGGCTCAGTGTTGCTTGGAGAAGCCCCCCATCTCACTGGACAATCACATTAATCAGGAAGACAGGCAAGGGCCTGTGCAGAGACTGGCTCCAAGAACCCTTCAGGCACCTTTCCGGTGTTGAAGGTTTGCTTGTGTGTCGTGAGGCCTGGGAGGGAAATGAGCTTCTCTGTCTGGGTTCTAAGTTCAGCCTGGTACCAACCAAGTCCCAGGTTCAGAAAGATCCAGAACGCTGATAGTTGCTGTATAGGTGTGTCTTATCTCCAGAAGAGAACAAAGGCAATCAGGGACATATCCTTTGTTTTCTAAGAGCAGGACCTCACGCTTCCACCGGGATCCGGAAACTGGCTCCCGAGGCCCCTCCCCCACATCCTGAACACAGAACATATCTTCATGTGCAGGATGAAAACAGTATGTCATTATTTACACTACATGTGGGCAGGGCCTATGCACTTTCAAGGCACCGTGTTGAGATTCCCAGCCAGGAACATGATCTATAACACAGTAACGAAGCAACAAAGAAACTCCAGAATAGTCTTCCAGGTGTCTTTGTGGGAGGAAAGCAACACAAAAACATAAAGGACGGGGGGGGAGGGGGGGTTTCCCTGCAAATAAAACATTAAAGAAACCGCAACAACCAACAGACTTTACTGGAGTTCGTTTGTATCGTCGGCAGCTATCAGTAGCTATCAGCACTAGACTTTTTGGAAAAATAAATCTTGACGTCTCCTATGAGCTGTTTTTCTTTGACGAAACTGATGAGAGGAGCTGAAACAGCCCGAGAGCCTCCACATCTAACACTACTGCCAACACATGACAAGTCATGTGAGAGCAACTGAATTCAGGGCAGGAAGCGAGATCTAAGAAATGTTAAAGGTGATGAGATTGTTGGGGCCAGACATGGTGCTTCTCTGTTGGGATGTTGTAAACTATGGTGTTTAGAATTTACAGAGAATGGTGTGAAGAGGAGAAACACCCAGTCAAAGGCATTGGTGGGGCCCAAAAACACACTGTAAATGAGAGAGGACAGAGAAGAATGGATAGAATCGTTAAAGCGAACAGGAAGGACATGAGGACGGAAATAACAGCTCAGTAAAGCAGTGGCGTGCAGAAGGGCTTACTAACCTCACAACTCATTAAAGCTTGAAGCAATTCTTGAGACAAAAGCAAGTTGTACCAGATACCAGCTGGAAGCAGCTAATAAAACAGCACAGAGTGCATACTGGATATTAGGCAAACAAATCAATAGATTGATGCTCCTATGCTTATCATGAAATGCAAAATAAAGATCATACAGAGCTTAGCTGTCAAATACCGGCATGGAAGGATGGGCAGAACCACAGCGGGGACCCGCGAGGGTAAGGAGGACGGGCAGAACCACAGCGGGGACCCGCGCGGGTAAGGAGGACGGGCAGAACCACTGCGGGAACCCGCGCGGGTAAGGAAGCCATGATGTTGCCCAAGAGGCTGGCGTCTCATCAGAAATGTCTAGGATCCATTCATTAAGATGTGAGAAAAACGTTTGGAAATACAATATTTTCCCCAATAATGAAGACACACAGTGAAATGTTAAAACGTTGAAGTTTCTAAGATATACTTGTACCCTGCATGACATGTAGGGGGCCACCGGCTCCTAAAATGGAGATTAATTCGGAAGACGAATGGACCATAGCACTACCGTGTACCACTACAGAACCGTATAAATGACTAAACAGCTCCCGAGAGCATTGTCCAGAACAAACATCCACTTGAGCCATTCGCATTTCATTCCTCGCAGTCGGCTTAAGAATGAAAGTAAGTTTGGCGATAAGTGAGGCAGCGACGCGGTACCTCGGAGTGGGGATGTGGCGGCATGTCACTGATTAAGATCCCCCTACTTAACACTTCATCCCTGGGGACCCAGTTCAAATGCAAGCCCGTGTGAGCGACCAAAACAAACACCTGCCGCCAACAGGTGATGGATTAAGTGCTGCAATGTTATGCAGAAGTGACTGACTACTAATGTTTAGCAGCCATAAATGTATAAAAATGAACTCCACACCTTGAAATGGTTTTATTGAACACAGGAACGATAAATGCATAAACTGTAGGTGCGCCCGAATATGGATTACTTTCGGTTTTCCACAGCCAGCAGTTTTAACAGCGTCATTTGTTATATCATAAATAAGCACGTTACCTGCGCAGCGCAGACCTGCGTCAATGTAAAATGTGTCACTCTGGCCGGTGATAATTTATGCAATAAGGAATAAGAAAATCTTACGTGTGGTGGCACTGATGAGGTTCTTGGCCTCCCTGTGAAGCTCCTTTATGAAGCGGCTGGTTTTGTCCAGCTCCGCTTCGTGCGCCCGGATGCGCTCTCTGAATGACGGGCTGTCCAGGGAGCACTCGCTGAACTCCAAGGGGTACAGACCCATGGCCGCTCCGGGGGCGTCAAACCTGCATCCACTCCGCGCCGATCACCGCGGAACCAGGTAACCAAAGGACGAGGCTAATTCCACGAGTTACTAACTATTGGTGCTTTACTCTGATTTTAAAATTTAACTTGAAAAATGTTTTTCCTTTTTTTAAAAATAAAAAAGCACAGAGATAGTGATGATTCCTGTGTGAGAGCACGCAATAACCTGCTCCAGTGGGAGTGTCCCAGACTGAAGTCCTTTTCTGCCCCGAGGGGTGGGCTGGAGGCTGGACGCCTCATTGCGCCTTGGCCGGTTGGCTCCAGTATCGCGTCCGCAGTCGCTCCGGGAACTGCGCCTGCGCACACGCGAACGCCTAACTCCCCCTAACACGTACTGGCAGCAATGGGAGGGTGTTCGTAACTATGTCATTGTTCTTTGTTATATATTAATTAGTAATCGGTAAGCGGTGCTCTAAAATGGCTCGAGTCTGCTGCATCGGACACTGTACTTTAGGGAGCTGTTCCCCTACTCTGGTGAAACAGTCATTGTTGGGATATTTCTCAATAGCATTCATGCAGAAGGAGCTCTCGTCTTGTATATGTGACAAAGACTTACGTCAGCCCATCACGACGCGCACCGGCCTATTTATGTAATCATAAAATACATAATAAACTTTACTCTGTAGATCCCGCTATTTTTAGGTAACCGCTCGCACTCCCCTTCACCTCAGCAACGGGGTACTTCAAGAAGTACCGCTTGATTTCATTAGCTCACCAGATATTTGTGTTGCTGTGTTGTTTTGATCTTTTATTACACGCATTGCTGTAAAATATTTTTAAACGTTTACTGGGTGGTGCAAATGTGAACATATCAGTTTTGAGTAGGACTCACGCCTCTAACTGATCAACAACAAAGTTGGAGGTTTCATGTTTATAGAGAGAGATCAGGATCATGCACTGATACAGCGCGTTGCCACACCCACCACATGACAAACCACCTCAGGGATGAGAACCAGCCATGTTCTCCGAAGTGCAGCCATGCGGCAGTGGCTGGAGTAGAAACCCTGCCACCAAACCCCCAAGTTTTTCCCCTGTAAATTGGAGGACCTTCTTATAGTTCCAAAGCAACTGCAGATTAAGGGTCCGACAGAGTAGAATCACTCTAGGCATTCATGGGATTTGAACCAGCGACCTTCCAGTTGCTGGCACAGCTCCCTAGCCTCAGAGCCACCACTTCGTTTATAGAACTTAATATTATTCTAGTAATCTTTTGGGCGGGGGTGGTGGTCCTCAAGAAAGAGTGCACTGGTAGTTGAATAATTTACTGATAATTGTGCAAACGATTGGGATTTCAGGAAGATCATTGGGAGCGCCACTTTCTGGATCAAGAGATTTTGTTATCTAGAGCAGATGTGGCTGCTATAGGGAAATCATAATTGGGATATAATGTAAGATCACCAAGTCCACCCATCCATTTTCTGTAACCGCTTGTCCTATGCTTGGTCGCGGGGGTGGGGAGCTAATCACGGAGGCTACGGGCGCAAGGCAGGTAACAGCGCAGGGTGGGGCGCCACCCCATCGCGGGGCACACTGACACAGTCACACCTACGGGCAATTTGGTACCTCCGATTAACCTCAGCATGTTTTTGGATTGTGGGGGAAACCGGAGTACCCGGGGGAACTGACACGGGGAGAACATGCAAACAGTGCCTCTGCGCCAAGGTGCCGCCAATTGTTAATTAGTTTTCCGAGAAAAGCAATGCAAAACTTGCAGTGACTGTCATCCTCCATGCAGCAGTTCCCCAGTCTTAACCTAGATGTGCAGGCTGTGTAACACCGACATCTAGCGGTAGAATGTGACATTGCATATTAATGGCCACCCTTGTTAACACCTAAAACGGTACGACGGGACAAAAATTATCTTTTAAGTAAGGAGATGCCTTTTTGATCTCCAAAAAGCGAAGCCACGAGTCGAAAATAAGCTTCGCGAGATATGACGAATTTACCCAAATTGCATACCATACAACTGTAATGCTATTATAATTTATTAATGTATAAGGACACACATTTGGCAAAAAAGCAGAAACGGTAACTGGTTTTAATAGTTTGCTATTGTATTATCCACCTGCAGTAAATAAAGCTGTTTTCTGGCATACCATTGAAAGTTTTTTCCCTCTCCCTTTCATGCCATTCATTTTCATACAAAAAACACCTGTCACACCGTTTTATGTCTAACCGTGTACCAAGCATGGTAGAGGCCCTCAGGAATATCTGAATATTCGTAATAATAATAAAAAAAAGCATAAAAATGGAGTAACAATCAACCACAAATATCCCCCCACCTTTTCACTCGGGTGAAAAAATTGCAACATCATCAACCATTAAACTTATCCTGCAGAGACAGCTTCTCCTTCAACTTTGGGATATGAAGTGGTGACACACAATGGCAGCCTGTCCCAAAGCAGGCACGGCAATTAACAAACCGAAGACACCCATGGCTGCTTCTCCGTATAACTGGTCTGCCTCCACCCTGGCTTAGAGCATATATACTGCCGATATACTCATTCCCCTAGCAGATACCTGACTCCAGGTATGTGCTTAAGATTTCTATAGAGATTCAGGTTACCGGCTTTTCTTTAAGAGCTACTGTGAGCAGACACCCTTCGACGCACCTCCCCGGCTCAGAAATCACTGCTTGGCGTCGATCCCTAAAGCAACCGGTTAATAGTGTTTCCCAAGGCTTTGAGTGCGCAGGTTTAAAACTCATTGAAGGCATCAGCTGATAAATACCACGAGATGTAGATAAATAATCGGAAGACCAGACCGCTGAGCTCTGAGGATGGCAGGCAAGGTCACCAGAACTCCAGGTGCTGGTCTTCAAACAGGACAATGGACCACGGAGGAACATCAAAAATTCAAGAAACGGAAACACGGTCATTCTGACAGTAGGTACTGGTTGCCCCATCAGCTGTAAGAGCAGCATGCGCACCTCCCACCCACGGAGTATGTGGATCTAGAACAGGCCTGGCTTCTCAGAAGGGCATTCCTCAGATGGGCCTATGGTGCTGGAGTTTACAAAGGGCGGTACGAGGGACCCAATTACGAGACCGTGTTGTTGTTTGTGTTGAGAATGTCCGTGGGGACACCGGAGGTACTGGTGTCCTCATCCCAGGAAGCGGAGCTGAGCCCAGCCGGGGCTGAGAGGGAGTGGGGCGTCACGGTACGGCCGAAGCCCTGGTAGCGCCCCCTGGGGGAGGAGGGGATGGAGGCAGCCTCCACGGCAGGTTCCTGGGAGCCCCCCGAAAGCAGGCCCGTGTGCTCGTTCTGGTCTTGATCTTCTTCACCAAAGTACAGCTTTCTGGGTCGGCCAAGAACCGTTCTCCCTGCAATGGAGGGGGGGGGGGCAGCAAAAAACATATGGTTCCAAAGTCTTTGTCATGATTCGCTTTTCCATGTTTAAGGATTCATCTAGGGAATATTTCCAGTGGGATAATTTACACTGTTTCCTGAAACACATCGAAACAAGCTGAAGTGCTCCTCTCCCCCCCGACACTCACCAACGTTACGCACTTGCTCCGAAATGTCGGCTCTGATGTCCGACACGTCCCACATGGCCAGGAAGGAGTCGAAGCAGGAACCCTCCTCAGCCTCCTGGATGTACGGTTTATACGTGAAGCTGAAGTGGTGAGCAATGGCAGCCAGGAACATCTCCACGCAGATGATGAAGTCCTACAGGGGGCCCAATATCAGCAAAACTTATCAAGGGCAAATCACAGCACGAACACAGCCGTAAATGACATTTACATTTTACTTAGCAGATGTTTTTCTCAAAAGCAACGGACACTTTTTTGAGAAAAGGTCAGACAGTCCCTAAAGAAACTAGGGGTTAAGGGCCTTGTTCAGGGGCCCAACTGTGACCTCACTCAGCCGACCCAAATTTGAACTGGGTGACCCACACATGCCCCAGTTTGAATTGGTTCCCAGCTCATACCTGGAGTCCCGTGGCAACAGCTTCCACACTGTCCCAGTCCCAGGTATGAGAGTCTGAAATGACTCCCACCTTCACCAGAAAAGCAATAAACACGGCCTGCCTGGATGGGACCACACCCGAGAAAGGAGAACCATGTCAGCGTCAAAAAACACCGGATCTGAATGTTAGGGAAAGAAAGGTGCAGGAAAGGGCAACTAACCAAAAGGACACAAACACCACCAGCTTGACACACAAGAACTTCCCCACCGGACGAATTGGACTGAGTTCATCTCGCAGGGCCTTGTAGAACAGCACGAGGCAGTACATGGCAAACTGTGAGAAGGGAAGACGGACACAACGTCAAACGGCACTGCCGAGCCCTGGTGCATTCTGGGAAAGGCAGAAATGGGTCACCTACTCTGAAGTAAAGTGTGTTAGCAACCAGTTACATTGATTTGCCTTGACAGAATGAAAAAGTGATGAAAACCTCTAAATGCATGTACCAGCTGGGACAAGTTGTTGACTATCACCAGGTAGGTCCAGGCATTCCTGGAGCTGAAGTTGCCCTCATCATACACACCACATAGCTGACAGATCCTTTGTGGGGGGGGGAGTAAAAACATTAAAAAGACATTTATTTTATGCCACGAATGATGCATGTAAATATACTGAACCTTACATAAAGGTATGCCACGTCATTGTTGGGTCATTAACAGCCGACTAATTAACAATCAAAGTCAATGATGCAAGAATTAACTTTTCAAAGTCTTGAGTACAACTGGATTTAATATCATTTAACTTTGGGTGAATCTCAGTATGCGTACTTGACCGTACTCGTGTTCTCGTACCCCTTTTAATTAAACCATCTTCCATTGCCGAAGACCAGTTCCAGTACTAAGAACGGAAGTACAGAGGACAGTAAAAATCCCTGGATGTCATTCTTGCCCCGCTCTGAACGTCAAGGACACGTCGGTTGCATCCTTGCCAAATGAGACTAATCCCAGGATCCATTGCACCCTAAGTTCGTTCTTGGAAGGAACCTTAGCAGGACCGGTCTTGCCAAGACCACAAGTATGGTCTTTGCGTTCTTCCTACTGAGATTCACACAAAATATGAGACCGAAAACTTCGCCCCCTGGTGGTGATATACGTACAAAGCTACGACAGTAGTGAAGGGTCTGACCACGGTGTACTGAAGAACGCCCAGCTTGCACCTGAACAGAAGAACCCTAAGAACAAGATGAGCAACAGGCACATTCAGATACCAGAACGGGGTCTTTTCTTCATGACCGCATGCTGTTCTCAACATTCATCAAGGCATGGAGGACTAACAAGTACCAGCACGGCAGGTCGCCTTCTCTAAGATACACAAACGCCATCATGAAGCTTATTATTCCGGCTCATTTTTTGCTCAAGACTCCTTAATATTTCCACATGTGCTTCAAGTTTCAGTGTGCAGTAGTAAACACAGAATTTTAAACCTAGACTGCTGCCAACGTCCCCGGAAAGTGACACATGCGATCGTTTTAAGGTCTCGCCACCATCTAACCGTATAAGCACGGCTCGCCAGCTGATGTTTACAGGAACAGCAGCTTTAGGCTAATCTCCCGGCGGCACTCACTCCCCCATCGGCCACGGCGGGCAGCAGCATAGCGGCGGTAAGTGTCTCTGCTGTTCCTGGACCTCCATCATGACCACCAGGCTGGGGTACTGATTGGCCAAGTAATTCAGCAGGAAGATCATGAAGTTGTAGATGACGTATGCTTCGTAGCATTCCCTGCACGTGTCCACGTAGATGGCGATGCTGGGGTACTTTAGGGCAATCCACTGCGAGAGAAAGGGAAGGCATCTCACCTGCAGCGCTGCACATGCACCCTTAAGCACCGCCAGCTTTACTATTTACTGTAACTCCGATTTTATTTTATTTTTTGCTGGTACTTACACTGTCCAAACTGTATATCGGCACCATCCATAAGATTCTGTAATGACAGAAATGCATGACAGTACAAAATAAAAGCAAACAAATACCTCTATGGCTACAATACGATCTAGAAATATCGCTATATACATACATATGCGATATTTTGCGACGGGCACTGACAGGGCGTATTTACTCACCTGATGATAGGTTTTTGCAATTCGGGCTGTGTGTAATGAACGAGGTGCTGCAGTATGCCCCATAGCGAGATGGGAATGGTCATGAACACAAATATCCCGGCGATAAACCATGCTTTGTTGTGGGTACCAACCTAAAGGGTTAATACAATGGATCTTAAACCACCAAACAGGCTGGAGGTGATGTGCAAAAAAACCCGCAATTTAAAGGACGGCGGGCGCTCAATGGCGTTAAACACACCGGAGCGTAAAATTCAGTCCCATTAAAATAAACATGCATGCAATCAAACACACAAAGGCAAAGGCTGCCCGACTCACCCCGGATTCCTGCAGCTCCCACACGCAAAAGGGCAGCACCACCAGCAGCAGCAGCACGTACAGGCACACCACCAGCGGCCGGATCCACCTCCTCCAGTTCCTGCAGGTGCACGGCATGCCGGCCGGGGCCCCTTCGGGACGTCCTGACTGCAACGCCGGCCTCGCAATCACACACAGCCGCCTCTTCCCTAGGCGGCCAGACGGGCAGGTAACCGAAAACAAAGCCCACCTTATTACACGGGGTGAGACATCGTTTTAAAAAGGCCCTGGCGTGATAACAGGGTTATGCTGGCAGAGGCTTAATTCCCAGCTATTCCTGTACAAGCAGACATGCTGAATCACGGAGGTACCACCCACCTCCCGAGCTCCGATTGGACGGTGACCAGTCCGATGACGCGAACGGAGACACCCTTATTGGATAGTTCTGTTGCCAATTTAAGGACATGTTTTGCAGTGTCGCGTAACCAAGAGGACGGGTGTATGTGTATGATTATACCTAAATTATTCACGTCTTATCTATATTTATTACAGTAAACGATGCTATTTTATGATTTTTTTTCTTTTCAGTGTATGACTCATTGTGCAATGCTGTATTTAAAGCATTGCCATGTTCATAGAGTCTAATTCATTGTGTATTTCAATGCAGTCTCATACTATTTTGCTACTTTCTCAATTTTAATTCGTGATGGGACAAGTTTTATTCTAGCAAATGAGTTAACTAAAAACGTGTGATCAGCAGTTACGTTAATAAGATGTTTAAAAACATGTCAGTATCACCACTAGGTGTCATTATAAATCTATTTTTCGCCTCTTTAGTACTAAATTCAAATGACAAGTTTAATGGCAATAATGTGATGTAATATAATGTAGCTGCCGATAGGCTGATAGATATTCAAGAAACAACGACGGCACCTAATGACATTCATAATAAAACAGGCAAGCAGCGCGCGCATTAAAAGTTTAGAAGATAAAATAGATTTTATAGTATCCACTACAAGCAATATAGTACATTTTCCAGTGTGTTTTGTGCGACTCGCTACTGATCAAACTTACATTCGTGGGACGGAAAAAAGCACCCACTTTTATAGCTGGTAGAGATTTGATAGCGATGAGAATCAGCGCTGCGTGTGGGAAACGCTCACACGTGTCCGGCAGAGACGCGGCCCGCTCGCCCCGCTGCTGCCCGCTTTGACTCGCAGTCATGCGGGAGGGCGGACTGCTTTCATCCACGCTGTAGGCATGACTGAGAGCATCTGTGATGTGTTGCTTCTTAATTAACTTTCCATTTCCAACACCAGACTTCTTAAGTGCGCAGCCCAAGGAAATAAAACGGTGGTACACCAATAACTTCCAATATGTTTGTTTTAACAGCGAAGTTGGAGATAACGTAAAAGTCGTGTTTTCGGAATATTGGTATGCCGGATGGTTCAATTAAGAGTTCATTAAGTTTTACATTATGAAGAAGAGGGATATACGCGTGGAGGAGAGTTTGAATAGATTCACTGGACTGAACAGGAGTCAGAAATACTCCATATAGTGCCATCCTAATATTATAAATGTTACAGCAATGTTGCTTCAAAAGTTTATATATGAAATACTCCCCTCCGCGATTCTGACGCAATGTAGGCTAATGAGTCACTGACGTTAACACGGAACAATATACATTTGAAATTCAGGTTTTAGTGTACTTTAAATAACTATATACATACGGCAATGTACACAGAAACTTGTTTGTTTATTATACTTTTTTTTTTTATCAAAGATACAGTTTACACACGGAATGAAACGTTGGACATTGTGTATTAAGGCAGCAATTATATGCACAGTCAGGGTAAAAATATTAATAAACCACTTCACTCATACAGAATACAGAAACATTACTGCGACCTGAAATGATCGAAGTTCAATATAGCTTGAGTAAAGGCAGCTCTCAGCTCAGCAAATATAAAAGTACAAAGTGACGGAAATGGGCGAAAGCATGAGCGAGGCAGCGCCTACGATCCGGCCGGGAAACGCTGTAAAACACAGTAAAGCTGCGGAAGCGTCACGTACGGGTGAATGTTGACGTTACGGGATAAACATTGATATTAGCGAATATACATACGCGCACTGATCACATCGTCGCATAAAGCAGGTATTATTTGCAGTAATAACGCATTCCTCAATGCAATACAGCTGCGTGTAAGAACGAAGGGATGCAATCTCACTGGTGATACTTAAAGTATCTGTAAATAACAAGAATAAAAAAGTTTAAATAGTGACAACAGGAAAAATATATATATAATGGCATATTCAAAACGTACATCTCCTTTTACTATTCCAAATTATAATAGGCCTACATGCGCTCCTGAACTATTATACAGTAATTGATATTTTTAGTTTACAAATCCACTGATTTTGTGTTTGTGGTTTTTATGGGATAAATGTGATCTTTTAAAGGGAAGTGACGTTTAGATTGACAATCCTACACGGACGTAAAGTTCACCAAAAATTATTTTGAGTCTTCTTCATTTTTCTAGCAACTTGAGACAGTACAAATAATACAGTGGTGAAGTGTTACGTAACGGATTAACCAGTTAGTTATGTACTGCCTGGTTCAAACCTCCCGGACCTGCAGCAAAAGCAGAAGTCTCTCGGCTGGAAGGCAATTGCAAGGTAACAGGAAATATTTTCTGTATCAATTAAATGATTTTCACCTGCAGCCACTCACATGACATTTTCGGGGGGTTTTTTGGCATTCCTGGATTACACTCATGGGTGCATGAATTTCACCAAATATCAGCATTTAACATTGTATAACTAAGATAATACTGCAGCTTAACTCACTAGTATTGTGTTACACACGCTGACCCTGAACTCAGGGAGCAGTCCCCATCACACACTATGTAATAACTGAGGCTTTTTGTGCATGAACGTACCTTGCATTTGCATACATTTAAAAAAATGCCTTTTTCCCATTTTCTCACAATCATCTACTTAGTGACCTCTGACCCTGGCTGATGTCCGGTGAGAAGTGCAGAGAGTTGGCATGTTTGGCGGTGCTGCTATCATGACCACAGCAACCAGGGGTACCGGTAAAGTGATTAGAAGCTTCCGGATCGAAATCCTTCGGGCCTGGCACTTAGCCACGTCCTGTGCAGGCCTCCTGGCAGGCCTCCTGTGCAGGCCTCCTGGCAGGCCTCCTGTGCAGGCCTCCTGGCAGGGTAACAGCACCCATGTCCTCCAGGGGAGTCAATCTGCCAGTGCCTTAGTGCCGAGTTTACTCGGTCCAGAGGTGTGTGAGGCATGCTGATGCTGCCGTCTTCCATGCGGCTGTGCCACACTGAAATGCAATGGAATCCTGCAGTATGATATGCGCTGACCCCATACTGCTTAAGTATGGCTGTGATGAATCCATGGCTTACTCTTTGCACACGGCACACTGACGGGAAAGACAGAGGTCCGTGATTGGCTGGTGGAGAGGGGGGCGTGGCCTCAGATGTCACTGTCTTTACGCAGGCTGTGGTCGGCGTGGTGGATCTCCAACATCCTATTTGCACACGGTACACTGATGGGAAAGACGGAGGTCCGAGATTGGCTGGTGGAGGGGGAGGGGGCGTGGCCTCAGATGTTACTGTCTTTACGCAGGCTGTGGTCGGCATGGTGGACTTCCAACATCCTATTTGCACACGGCACACTGACGGGAAAGACGGAGGTCCGTGATTGGCTGGTGGAGGGGGGGGGCGTGACCTCAGATGTCACTGTCTTTACGCAGGCTGTGGTCGGCATGGTGGATCTCCGGCATCTTGTACTGCACACTGGTGCCGTTCAGGGGCATCATGCTGTTCATCAGTGAGCCTGGGTGGCAGCAGCAGCAGAGGCAGGACTGGGGGGTGGTGAGGGAGGGGCCGGAAGGGGGGAGGGGGAGGGCAATGAGAGAGGGAGGGGCAGGAAGCAGGAGAGGGAGGAACAGGGAGTGAGTGGGAGGGGAATGGGGGGCAAAGGAGAATATTAACATACATAGAGCGCCACAGCTGACGGCCTCAGACTGGATGACCCCCCCTCAGCAAAGCCTGAGTGGTGTGTCCTGCGGGGCCTTAGCTGGTTAACGGCAGGCTGAGAGGCTGAGATCGCTCACTCTGCACAGGGCAGGTTTCATGTAAGAAACTGACACTCATTTCCTGTTTCCCAGAACAATAATAAGTATTTCCAGACTTTGGAAAACCGTGGCTTCAAATCAGCAAGACGCTGAGTGTTAAGCTCTGAACTAAGGGCTCCCTGGCAGGGCTGCGTCACCGTAATCTCTCTGCAGATGGACATCACATGACCTTGCGGAGCGAGTGACATCAGAATCACTTTGGAAGAACTGTAATGTCACACAAGCACAGGGGAACAACCAACACTTGTAAGGAATCCAGATTCAAGCCTACCTTGAAGCAGTTCTTGAATTTCTTGCTCACAAAATACAGGATGATGGGGTTTATGCAGGAGTTGATAGTTGCCAGATTTTTACTCAAATAGTCAAGCACCAGCAGGAACCTGAAGCAAAAGTCAGTCTTGTGTTCATGCATTCTTTGGAAATTCTCACCCTGTAGTCATTGGTATGTGTGTGAGATGACAAATGTTTAAGTTGGCATTAAAGAAAACTATTCTTTTAACAGGTATGTCCTGTGATTTTCCACTTTTTATTCACTAATACCAGATTTACAGGAAGCGTCAGATGATTAATTCATCTGTCCCGTACAACAGGTATAACCGCTCACTAACCCGAAGTGCATTAAGACCCAGGGAGGATGTGGGTGAGGCTTACATGACATCAAGACCCAGGGAGGATGGGGGCGGGGCTTACATGACATTAAGACCCAGGGAGGATGGGGGCGGGGCTTACATGACATTAAGACCCAGGGGGGATGGGGGCGGGGCTTGCATGACATTAAGACCCAGGGAGGATGGGGGCGGGGCTTACTTGAGGAGGTCGCATCTTCCTCTGTCATTCTGCGTGTACACCATCTTTTTGAGTATCCGACTGAGATGCAGAGGGAACCAGCAGAGCGCAAAGATGAGCACCAGACAGAAGACAGCTTTAGCCACTTCTTTCCTCTGGAACAATGAGGAGGGGGAGACAGCAGTCAGACAAGAACGGAGTCTCTCTTGACCTAGATTTTGAACATTTTGAAGATGCAAACTGAAAAACCGTTAAAGGAAACACTCAACTTTAAAGAAAAAAAACAAACACTGTCAAAAAAAACCCACTTGAGGTACTTTTGTGGAAACTCAGAAGTACCTTGCAAAATTGCCATGGAAACAAAACTTGTGAATTAGTAGATACGTATTGGATATTATGTCAAGTCCTTCTAGAGGTTCTAACCACGGTAAGCACGCGTCATGCTGAAGTACAAGACATGGATGTCGGTCTCACAGGATTATAAATAGCAAGTATTACTCACGTGGCAGCCAGAAATGGAAACACACCCTATTTTCAGTTTAACCTTCACTTATAATGTACACAAAGTTTTAATAGAGATACAGCTAATGACTGGACAGAACATCGACACAGGCTGACATAGTGACATAATAAACTTGCAGTAAAACAACGCTTGTGCTCTGATACATTATTGCTTAAGCATGACAATGTGCTGAACCTTCTCAATGGAGCCAGGAGTTCCCCGTCATCAGTGAGTCTGCGCTTGTGCTAAGTGACTGACTGAGAGCTGAGTCAGAAGGCGTCCGGTGAGAAATCCCTTCTGCTTTCTGAGAATAGGGGTTAGGCTTAGGGTTAGGCTTAGGGTGGACCACAGTGCCCCACCTGCTTCAGATGCTCAGTGAGGGCGATCCGGAGGTCCCCGTTACGGCGATGCAGCATCTCGCAGGTCATGAGCGAGTAGAAGGCGGCGGTGCAGGCCAGCGGCATGCAGAAGTAAAAGCCAAACAGCCACCAGTCCTTGACGTTGGTGTAGAACTGGAGCGAGAGCGGGGCACAATGGGGGGGAAGAGGCGTTAAGGAAAGCATGCGGCACCGGGGTACCGCCATCGCACTCTCCGTGCGAGGAAGCAATGGGAACCACAGCTGAGAAGCTGATACCCACCAGCTGCTCTGAGACAACATTCTGGCTGCAGTGTCAGTCTGGTTCTGGGCGACCCTACAGATAAGGGAGCCCGAGGACATATGGCTCTATTTAAAATGTGCTGGGTGCCCGAAAATGGCACTTTGCCCACAGGCAGTTAACATCTGCTGGCCTGCCGGTGCCCACTGTGACTCGCCGGCGCCAAAACCGCCCTCCAAACACATACATCACTTCCTCATTGTTTACAGCTTTACAAATAATTATGAAGTAATCAGCCTTAAATGAATAATGACAGCTAATTTATCCATTCTGCCTTTTAATGCACATAACGCATATTGTTATATATTGGTTGGTATTTCTTTATTTCATTCACTTACTAGTGTAAATTTACAACTTCTTTGACTCATGTGACCTGCCAGCCAAAAAAGTATTGATTGATATGTGTGGCTTGAATTTATTTATCTTTTGAAGTTACATGTGGACCAAAGTTTCAGCCCTTTAACGCCCCTGGAAGGGCATTAATCCCCTTTTTTGGGAATGCTGTTTCTCAGATGTTCACAGTCCCAGTGATTCCTCATACATACCCAAGCAGCCTTTGTTTGGAAGTTACACTTTTTCAATTTTCTTCAAAAAAATCTAATTGATATATGTCAATAAATGCAGCTATACCTTAATATCCACAACTTAATCTCACACTCTGAAGAGTTAGGCACTGTAACTATGAGTAATACATACTGATAGGCACTGTAACTATGAGTAATAAATACTGTTAGGTACTGTAACTATGAGTAATAAATACTAATAAATGGTGATTAATATCATTTATCATACTGATAAATTCCACAATGTTACACTAACATACAGCATAAAATTAGTTAGTTAGCTTGTTGTAGACTTTTGTATCCATAAGAAAAGCTCTGTGTCTGTTTTGTATCAGGAACGTTACATCGCCAGGCCGTACCATCATGAAGGGGGTCTGCGGCTTGAGCATGCAGGTCCTCATGGTGACGTTTTTGTAGCTGAAGCTGACCATGTCGAAGACGACGGCTTCGGGGACGGCCAGGACGATGGACAGGATCCAAATGGAGACGATTTCGATGGCTGTCACCAGGGGGATCCCCACCCCCTGGACCCGGCTCCAGGAGACTACTGCCCTGAACCTGTACCCGGCCAGGGGACATAAACACATATACTGTAGTATTTACATCAGCAAAACCTGTACATAAGCAGCACCCCTCTATGCTAATGTTGGTAGCTCCCAGAACCATGTTGCTTATTTTCAAGACTTGATTGTTGTTAATCTTCGACGGAGCTGGTGAGGGCCTCTTTCTATGGGGCTGGCTAATGGTCTGCATATGTTCTGGAAGGACCTCAGAGGGTCAGTTCAGGAGCTTCATGAGCTTCTGAACTTCACAGTGGCAGCAGCGTAAGTCGAGCTGCATCCCGTGGGACTGCGTGCCGCCTAAACGCTCCCGGCCGTAATCCGCCCCCGCCTTCAGACTTTCTGGGGAGAACCTGAGTCGTGTGGGACCGGGATCATCTGTGGGACGGGGCAGACTGGTGCCTCCTTCAGGTTTAGGCCAATTCTGCACTCAGATTTCAGGCCAGAACCCCCCCCCCCCAACACCACCCTGAGAGTAACTGAGTGTAACCTGCCAATAAAGTATTTAAATAGGAAGCTTTGGAAAATGCATTATCACACAGAGAGTCCTTTCTTACGGTGCTGATTTTTTAAATTCTGTTAGTTACATTGTTACTCTACAGATAAAGCAAATTGAGGTGTTTTATGTATCATTGCAGCAATTTAATAACTAATCCACACAATACCTTCTCTGTAGCCGAGCACACCATTAGACAGGAAACAAAGTTATGATGAAGGCTTATGTTCAGAATCGTTTTTGGATGAATGAATCTGAATGAAAGGGTGGTACCATGTCTTTTACAAAATGTTTGAACTAGTCAGCATAACCCCTGAGTCAGAAAAATTAAAATGAGCAGCGATTACAATGCTCCAATAACACTCTCACAGAAGCATAGAAGTGTTAATCTACTCATCAGCGAGTTCCTCTTTACGTACTTTCCTGGTTGACACTTACACGCTTTTATTCGTAAGTATTTTAACGGGGCCTGAGAGACCAGTGTTAGTGAAGCAGCTCTTCTTGGCTCCTGCCTGGCAGCACAGCTCCAGTGTTAGTGAAGCAGCTCTTCTTGGCTCCTGCCTGGCAGCACAGCTCCAGTGTTAGTGAAGCAGCTCTTCTTGGCTCCTGCCTGGCAGCACAGCTCCAGTGTTAGTGAAGCAGCTCTTCTTGGCTCCTGCCAGGCAGCACAGCTCTAGTGTGAGTGTAGCGCTAAATGAATGCATCTGACACACCTGCTGTTTCCTCTTGAGTTTTAAGGAAAGCACTAATTAATCTTTCCTGGAAACATTTGTCCCAGTCACCACCAAGCATGCTGTTCTGCTTAAAGACACATCCGTAAACCCGATCCGGGGGTACCTCCCCCCCACCATGACACCAGGGCAAAGGCCAGAGACCAAATGTGGCTTTAGCCTAAAGCTTTCTTCAGCATTCAGAGCTTCTCCTTATTTTCTGGGTCTCTGCAGAACCCACCCCCCACAGTGACCCATGGTGCCTTCGGGGGGGTCGCGGGCTGGGGCACGGGGGGCGATGACAGCGGCACGTTTTTTACCCCTGAGCCTGAAAAGATCCTTTGTGCCTCCAAATGTGCCCGGGGCCTTGACTGCCACAATAATGACTAATGCAGATCTTCAATAAAACACAAGTCAGAAAGAATGATGTCATCTAATTATGCTATCTGTGTATCAGCTTAGCGATACATGTGCAAACATGAACGTGGGGTTAGCTGTGGACGCCTAGGCGGAGCCGGAACCCATGAACTGCTGGTAAGCAAGTTACTTAACAGTCTGGTGTTAAATAAAGTGTCATTTTTTTCCCCCTCTTGTTTGTATATGTGCTTTAGGAGTCAAGCATCCCATCTTTAATATGTAACTTTGTAATGTATGATGCGGTCCTGAGTGACAGTGTGTGATTAGATTAGATGGTTGCTGGTTCAAATCCCAGGGATGCCGGAGTGATTTCCTTGCTGGGCTCTTGAGAAAGACCCTTAATTCACAATCGCTCTCTGACTGATGCTGTTTACTCAAAATAAGCATCGCTTTGGATAAACACGTTTGTTAAATAAATAGATTGTAATGCATTGCTGTACAGTAGTGTCCTCATTAGCGTTCCTGCTTGCTGCTTTTGGGTGTAACCAGCCTCATTTCCCTGGAATCCTAACAAACACACCAGCTACTTGCTGTCCGCGAACCCGGGATGCAGGCTGTCGGCCTGCCTGCTGAGGGGACAGCGGAGATCTCTGGGACTTACCTGTCAACGCTGAGGGCGCAGAGGTTGAGCACGGTGATGCCCACAGACGCCTTCTGCAGGAAGGGGACCAGCTTGCAGAGGAAGAGGCCGAACGGCTGCTCGCTGAAGGGCCACCTCATCGCCAGGAGCTGCAGGGTCCGACGTCAGCGTCAGAATCGCAAAGCAAACATGGTGTCCTGCCAGTATCCCATGTGTGACACTCAGCAGTAATATTAGTGAGCACCGTGTAAATGATCCTTTGATGTTTGTGACTGGTCTTTTTCTGCATGAATACACTGCTTGCTATTATGTCCCAAAACTTAACTTTAAGTTTTAGCGTTCAGTAACTTCCTGCGGAATTGTCCAAAGTTTCCCAGACCGAGAGGGATGCCGTCTTTCCTGGAGCCTTACGTAATTTGAGAGCAGGCGTTAAAATTAAACTTTGGAGAAATAAATGCAGTGAAGTCGAAGGTGGGACTGGTGGCGAGGCGGTGAACTGCTCTCTGAGAGCCCCGCACAGCGCATTCCCCGCCGCTATCTTAGCTAGCGCTAGTCAGCTGTCGCTCCATAAGGGCCGGTCTGGGATTATGGACGAGCGCTGGCGGTTAGCGGTTAGCGGTTAGCGCACTACTGCCCCTCGCCAAGACATCTCGGGTTACGGAACGTCTCTGTCCGGAAAGGAGGTGCACAGACCGAGGCAGATAGCGCTGGCATCTTCAGCGCCAAAGAGCTGCACTGCTACACATTATAACACATTATAACAACTCTCTGCTATCGCCATAATTATCATCATCACGATTATCATCATAATTATAATAATTATTATTATTATTATTAGGGGCAGCACTATAGCCTCACACCTCCAGGGTGATGGGGTCAGTTCCTACCTCTCTATTCATGTGCAGTTTCTCTCTGTGCCTGTACTGCTTTTCTCCTGTGACTCACACTTTCCATGGTATAAAGACGTCACGCTTTCATAGAACGTGCTCTAAGCTGCCCCTCTGCATGTGTGCTCTGCGTTGGTCTGGCCTTCCTAGCTCATGAAGTAGAACATAGTGCTAATAATATGAAAGTCATGGGTTCAAATCCCTGGGGTTGTATATAAATTCCTCCTACTGTAAGTCTCGTTGGATAAAAGTGTTGGATAAATGTGCATATATGACCCCTTCTAGGATGTCACCCAGCTCTGATTTTAATCTGCGGAGAATTTCATGGGAAAGGCTACAACCCGAGAGCTCAAACTGTTATTCTTACATGGTTCAACAGCAAAACAACATATCTCGTACGAGCCAATTTTCATTCATCCATCTTCACATAGAAATGGGTAGGAAAGACACCAGCTGAACATAACTCACACCGAGAGCAGTAACGCGAGAGAGCAACTGACCGGGTCTTGAACCCACATGGAATTACTGGGCAATGGGGACGCCTGCAGGCCCGCCTGTCCCGGCCTGACGCCGCTCAGCGGCCCTGGGCAGATTGGCTTCTCACCTTGTACACGTTGATGGGGATGTTGATGGAGATGTAGATGAGATCCCCCAGAGCCAGGTTTGCGATCAGGGCATTGGGTCCGTTCCTCATGCACTTGTTCTGGTAGATAATCCTCAGCAAGGTGGTATTGCCCACGATGCCCACCACGAACACCAAGCAGGAGAACATGGTGTTGATGTACTTGAAGCAGTGGCTGATTGATGTCGGTGCGGTGCACGGAGGGGGGGGGCCCGGTGAGGTCCGCACCGAGCCGTTGGAGTCCTCCAGCCTGCGGGGGGCATCGGGGAAGCCCCCCAGCCAGGGGGAGCCGGTGCCGTAGGGACCCAGTAAGGGCAAAGAGGCAGGGATGCCCCGGTCTGCGGAGTCACCTGTGCTGTTTGTCTGATAGCTTCCCCTCGTCATAAAAAGGACCAAAAGTACACAGAGTCTGGCAAGTCCCATGTTGGCTGAGTGCTGAGGGTGGTCTTCCAAGCAGCCAGTCTGGGTGACAAGGCAGACAAACCACAGTCATTTACACCATCACGGGACAGCAGAATTACTGTGCTGTCCAATACTTAGTCTGTAGTGAGAAGTAAGAAGCATCAGAAGAATACAAACTTTAAATGACGAACAATTCTTTTTGATTAAATCAAAATCCAGGGCTCAGGAGATTTACCATTGACTGCTTTACCAATGGAAGGCAGAAATGCTGTATTCTGTGCTATTCCCCCCTGAGAGTAGGCTATAACATTTCATAAATAAAGGTTTAAACAAAAGCAAAAATGACATAAAAACACTGTATATGGGTTATAACTTATTAGTGAAACGGGCGCAGACGGGTGTGTCAAGACGGGGAAATCGCATCTCCAGAAAATGCGTTAAAAGCCCATTGATTACTGGGACCGGGACACGTAAAGGTACAGTTTCTACTGAAAGAGCGTAATGTCTGCTTTCAGCACTCAAGGCAGAATAAATAAGCAAAAAAGAGACTTAAAAAGTATATTAATATTTTGGATACTTCTCTCTGTTTAACTGATATGTATCAGGGGATACGTTGTGCATGTAGAATATAGCGGATCAGTGAAGGTCTTAGTTTAGCGACAATTAGGTGATAATATGTTAACGTTTCATAAATAAATAAAGACGCGCACCTACCGTCACAGAAAGTCGCGTCTCTCGTGGAAACCGTCGGCTCGTGCCCGGGACGCCTGGCTGCGATCACATGACCCGCTAGCTCGCCTGCTGTGGGGCGCTTTGATTTCCCCCCTCTGTCCTCTTCTGCCTTACTCTCGCTCGCTCTCTCTCTCTCTCTCTCTCTCTCTCTCTCTCTCTCCCTCCCTCCCTCTCCCCACCTCACTCATCCGCTCTCTCTCTCCCTGTCCCGCTCTCTCTCTCTGTCTCTCTCTCTACCTCACTCATTCCCTATCTCTCCCTGTCCCACTCTCCCACCTGAACATGGCTATCTTCCTAAATAAATGGATGCTAACTGGCAGTTATGAATACGTTGAATAAAGTTCTATGCACTACTGTCATGGAACCAAATCAATACCACACTATCACAAGCTGTCGTGTCCTACCCTAACCCGAACCCTCACACATAATCAGAGGGCATTGTTAAGTATTATTTACTATAATACTACACTGTTTTGCACAATTGTTGAACAGGGTCACTTATTGCAAGTGATATAGTAATCATCCCGCATAACATCGATTCCTCAACTCACCACTGCTTCCCTTTACTTTGAAAGGATAAATTCCATTGTGTATTTTTTCTACAGTTTATAGAAATGAAAATGTAAAAAACACAACAATTGTTCCTCGTCTACCCTGTGTGCATGTGTGTGTGTGTGTGTGTGTGTGTGTGTGTCTGTGCGTGTGTGTGTGTGTGTGTGGCATTAACCTGTGTGCCAAGAGGAGCAGTTTGCTGTTTGTCAGTGATCTGGCTGGTTGGTGTCTGGTTTCGCAGGAAGGGCAGCACTGAAAGTGATGATGAAGATCTGCGTGTTTTCTTATAGCTTATTGTGGTTAAACATTGGCTATAATATTAATGAAACGACTAGCGACCTGAAAATGGTGTTAATAGGTGTTTGTGCAGTATGATATAAGTGCAGAAATAAGTGCAGAAATCGGATGTAAATAAGGGAGTATAATGTACAGGGACTTAGATATGACGATGATGCACCAAATTGAAGTTCCTGCTCATGCTCAGTGTGTGTGTGTGTGTGTGTGTGCGCATATGGTCTAGGTATGCATTACATTGTGGGGACCAAATATCCCCTGCTGTACTCCAGTGATATGTGGATTGATATCTGCATTGCATGCAAGATTATGGACAACAAATGGACGGATGAATCAGCTTTATTTATTGATCATTACCTGAAGGCCTGTTACATGTTTTTGAAAGACACAGACGGCTTTGTTGGTTCTGTCCCTCACTGTCCACAGCTTGGGGCCAGAAAGCATTTAGCTTGTGTACAGGAATGCAAGAGGGCAGCTGTGTGCGTTAGCGAAGGGGGAGATTCCTGGCCAAGATTCACCCAAGCGGCAGCCACTAGAGGGACACTGGGTCATGGGGGGCCATCGTCACTTTGGCGATTTCAGTGGAGCCCAGTGACATCACCACCCCCCATGAATTAATTAAAATATAAAGCAAGCAACATAAAACAGTTTTATCTTAGGCCAGCTGCAACTGAGTGTGGTATGGACCAATGGGTTATGGCACTTTACCTATGATCAGAAGGTTGCTGGTTCAAATCCCAAAGTCAGCAGAATGATGTCATTATTGGGCCCCTGAGAAATGCCCTTAACCCCAATTGACCCTGCTTTCTCAATTGTGCATTGCTTTGAATAAAAGTGCATGATAGGTATAGCTACTTCACCCGTTTGTGAAACTGTTTTTCTGAAAGATGCATTTGACGAAGGTGATTAAGAAAATGTTTAATTACAATGAAAGGGCCCTAATGCTGAAGTGTGGATCGGGTAATTAAGAGGAACTGTCCATGATCTGTACATTTCTCTAGAAGTGCCTTGTTTTCCTTTTAAGGGGTCGTTAGAGTTCGTTAATAATGAAGCTTGTAAGCGGTGAGCCCTTGACCTGCTCCGCGGTGCCCCCTTTCATGTTCCTGCACTGTCGCCGGTCCTCATCACAAATTAATGGCATTCCCTCTGAAGTTTGAGCCGGCATCCTGCCAAATCCCGCACACGCCCGGATGACATCTGCCATCCCCTTGGACTCTGGGGACATGCTGGTTCTCTGCGAGACCACGGCAAGTCCTGAACCGGGGCTTCCGACGAGAATGACGGGAGCGGTCTTTTGTCTTCATTACGGCGGAGAAACGTGAGCTTTTGTACGCTGACTGCGAACGAGAGACTTCAGGAAGAAACATGTCCTGATTGTTTGCCTGTTTACAGGTTCACAGTGATATTTGCGTTCAGTCAAACTTCATAAGCAAATCTGCTTTTCTGGGAAAAATGACCCGGCAAACAGACCATGATGGTGAAGAAATGAGAGGAGAGTCCATAAAGACCACTGCTGAAAATATGCAGGGAGATGCCAGTTCAATCCCATACCAGAAAAAGCAGCACTTCTGTGCAATATCACAGAAGGCAGAGGGATTGGTTAATTCAGGGCCTACATGATAGTTCTTCTTATTAACTGTGAATGGAGTCAGCAGTGTGCTTTAGCCTTCCATGTGCAGTCACATATGGGTCACATGTGAAATTCCTAGTGCCAGTATTTTTAATATGGTTTAGACTTTTATTTCACTAAAATAATGTGAAATACAGTGATTAAGAATAAAATGTTAACTAAAATTAATTTCAATGTGTACCCCAATGAGTGAAAGTACCCTAGCGAGTGAGTGTACCCTAATGAGTGAGTGTACCCCAATGGGTGAGGGTACCCTAGTGAGTGAGAGTACCCCAACGAGCGAGGGTATCCTAGCAAGTGAATGTACCCTAATGAGTGAGTGTACTCCAACTAGTGGGAGTACCCCAGTGAGTGAGTGTACCCTAACCAGTGAGGGTAGCCTAGTGACTGAGTGTACCCTAACGAGTGAGGGTACCCTAGCAAGTGTGTGTACCGTAACGAGTGAGTGTACCCTAATGAGTGAGTGTACCCCAATGGGAGAGGGTACCCTAGTGAGTGAGAGTACCCCAACGAGCGAGGGTATCCTAGCAAGTGAATGTACCCTAATGAGTGAGTGTACCCCAACTAGTGGGAGTACCCCAGTGAGTGAGTGTACCCTAACAAGTGAGGGTAGCCTAGTGACTGAGTGTACCCTAACGAGTGAGGGTACCCTAGCAAGTGTGTGTACCGTAACGAGTGAGTGTACCCTAACGAGTGAGGGTGCCCTAGCGACTGAATGTACCCTAACGAGTGAGGGTACCCTAGCAAGTGTGTGTACCCTAACGAGTGAGTGTACCCTAACGAGTGAGTGTACCCTAACGAGTGAGGGTGCCCTAGCGACTGAGGGTACCCTAGCAAGTGTGTGTACCCTAATGAGTGAGGGTGCCCTAGCAAGTGAGTGTACCCTACGGTACTCATGTGGTATAGTGGGTGAATTGTGCATGTTTACAGGCAAAGCACAGTTGGCTGCACATCAGCTCTGCATATTTACAGTGCTCTGAACTTTGTGCTGGCAATAGGCATCATGTACAAAGCTGTGAACCCGCATTCACTGGCCTGTCTCTCATGTTTCTTTTATTAAGATGGGTCTATCTGGCAGCGGCCTCATTTCTTGCAGTGCTTTATAGGAAATGCATTTTCTAGTGACACATTAAAGGTGGAGACCTTCTGAGGACTTGAGCAAACTTGCACTGAGGTGAATTTGGCATGGTGATCAGAACCACATGGGTGTCACATGAGGCTGGGAGATAACATGGACCAGTACATCTTCCTCTGCCCAAGTGAGGGTGTAAGTGCAGCAGTGGTGCCGAACGGCTGCTTGATTAGCTAGCAGCCATGGGTCCCACACACCAACCATCTCCATCAGCCACGGGTCCCACACGCCAACCATCTCCATCAG